TATAGCTTAGGTAGGTATATAATATTATCCGGTATATATGCCAAGTTCCTGAATTTAAAAAAAATGTATGCTGATTTTTACACTTTGAATTTAAACATTTGTTTCGAGACTTCAACTCATAATATAATATATTCCACCGATAATTTTACGTCAACAAATTATTTATAATCTTTAAGACTTTAAAAAAACGACTTTAAACTTTATCAATAATAATAAAATATTAATAATAGTTAATACTTATTTCTGTTTTTATTTACGTATTTGGTAGCAGGATGTAAAGTTGGACTTTGAAAAGTACTCTGATACAGTATATCATCCCTCTACACATTATGTCATTATTAGGTACCTTATATTATGCTTATTGAGGAATTAATTTAAGGCATACCTATAATCATTAAAAACTAAAAAACTATAAGAAATAAAATACGTTTAAAAATGGACTGTTAAAATAGTATGAAATAAAAATAAAAATTACCTACAAAAGTATGCTAGGTATTCATATTTTATATAATATATTTTGTTTTTCATTATTTTAACATTTTATTCACTCGTGTGGTTAAAATATCTTATAACATTTTTTGAAAATTCCGCTTTGAACAGGTATGTATATATTGTAAAGGTACTATGAATGTAAGTTTATCCAAATATTTTATACTATAAAGTATAAAGCTAAAGACATATCAGTTTTCATATATAAGAGAGGCGTATACCACAATTTCCAATTTGTCATTCCTTTTATGAAATTTTTTTTTCTATTTCATAAGAACCCTTAGCAGAACTTTCGATATATTATGTGAAGCTTATATAGAACAAGTTTTACTCTGTGCTCCGCACATACAAAACCACGTGTTTTGAACCAGAAATCTTGACGCATAATGTTGACATTGCGTCGGAGTACTTTTTGTTAAGCTCGGTTTAAAAGGCCAGCTCAAAAAACACCATATACACTATGTTATGTATATATATATAAATAAATATATATGCATGTAGCCACATTATATACATTTTTTTATTTTTTATCGCCTACTCAGCTTTAATACACATCACTCGTTGGTACCCACATTAATTCCATGCATTGACTCGGACACAAAAGCCCAGACATGTAAACAGCTTTTACCAACCGTCGGCCTTCATAACAAGTATCTATTGAAAAGGTCATCGACGCTTGTAATTTTCATGAGCACACATCAGAAATTCTGCACAACACACGTATACGCTCATACAATATAATAATATGTACCGACACACAAAGGTTGGCGCCTCGACTGCCGATGAGTATCTACATTAATTAAAGACGTCGCAAACACATCATCTTCTTCCTAGGTTTTAATGAATTCTTCACATCGAAAAACCTTATACATAGAACATATAATATAGAGTATATAGACATATAATTTGACATAATATATAGGTAGGCACTGATGATGCTTTAGCTCGGCTCTATATAATGTGAAGCGATACTCAGAGATTTGTAGTCTGTATATATATATACAATATAATATATTATCATGATATTGTCTACACGAGTTTGAACTACAAACACGACTTTCCAAATGCGAAGAAATAATATTTCAAAAGGCTATCACAAAATGTAAATAATAATAATGATGATAATGAATAATAATATTACGAAAATACAAGTAAGAAAAAGTAAAATGTATTTTTTCCAAATCATTTTAGACCGAGAACTACTACCAAAAAGAAAACGGCAGACGGAGGGCCTGCGATCAAAATGTGGACCACTGCGAGTATGTGCTACTGTAGGTAGTTACCTGCAAGTGCAGATTTGAACACACGTGGTTTCAAATGACAGTTATAACAAAAGTTCATCGTTTATATATCAGCATAATATTAGTTTTTTAGTCTAATTTATGTATTATATATTTACATAATCAAGATATTGTGTTGATTTGCGAGGCTGGACTGAAAACACGAGTTTCCGTTTACGAAAAAATAATATTTCAAAAGACCATCACAAGATGTTAATAATGGCCACTATCACATTGTTTGAACCGAAAAAGACGTCCACTATTTACAGGTTTTCGTTAATACAGGTTTCACTGTAGTAATAACGACGATGATAATATTACCAAACAAAGTAAGCGAAATCGTAGGAAAAAATGTGTATTGTAATGTAGCTTTATAACTAAATTGTTTTCCGAATAATTTTTGTATCTGGGAGGTGTCAACAAAACGAAAACTGCATGCGAGGGATCAAGAGGAAAATACATTGCAGCAGAACGTGGCTGCACGTGCAGATTTGAACGCAGACCAGACAGTTAACGGTTTATTGTTTATATAATATTATTAGCATAATAATATAATATAGGTAATGCGTTCCAGTGTTATTACCTACGTATGTATATTATTGTACGTATAGTCGGTATAATATTAATTTATAATATAATATATAATGTGTGTACTATAATGCACTGTGTTTACGACGTCCAATATTGCATTGTCGAAATGGTCAACGGGGGTAACAATCATATTAACGCATAGTTACGATAATCGGGGAGTTGGAGGGGGGAGGGGGAGGGGTAGTTCATTTGCATATAGACAATTAATTAGACGAATAATATTATGATGTGATCAATCACGTGGCGGCTGAGCCTAATATACATAGTATATATGTATATATACAATATTGTATATCCTATTCCGATATATTGATTATAGATTTAGACGGATATGCGTGGTCGTTTACATTGTCACATCAGCTGACTGTCAAATTTATTCTACGAGTATTATTATACATTGTATGCTATCTGAGATACGGTTTTTAAACTAAAATCATTTTAATCATTTACGAAGTGAATCATTGTTATTAACATTGATCGATACTTTTAATACCTACCACTGAACATTATTATGTTGGTATTATAACAATGCCGATACTATTTGAGATGGTTTATGTCTTGAATTATTATTTATGTAAGCACTGATTCACTGGCGAATAGTATGAAACACTGATCGATGTAATAATTTAAACTCGAACAACGAGAAATAGTATTTTATACTTTAGTTACCTATGCATACAACATAGATAATCATTAGTTACCGTATAGTCATTATAAAATATGAATTATCATTATATGTATAAATAATACTTTGAAATATTTATAAGACTACAAATATTACACTTGGTCGTAATCACAATTCAAATAAAAAGAAAAAAAAATAACAGATGAATGGATAACAAGTCGGAAATGCTTATTACGGTTTGGTCTATGAATAGTTAATCATAGGTATCATTTAAAATGCGAAAAAACTAGGTTTTGTTAAGTTAGGTACTTAAAAATCGATTGTGAGCAGAATACATTTTTGGAAATAAACCGCAATGTCATTCATTAATTTCTGTTTTAAATGTATTATTAATAAACATAATGCCTGTTGTATAAAAATAGATGAAAAAAAAATGATATGAAAGGAAATCTACTAGGTATAAAATTAAAATTATTTTTATAAGCTGATATGTTTTATCGCCCATTTTTAAAATATTAATGAATTTGACCTACTTTTGGGAAACAAACTGATACCTGGGGATAAAAATTATACGTTATTTAAGCACACCTAGGTAGTTGGGTTCATAATTTTATATTAAATATACGATTTCCAATTATTATTTGTTAAAATTACTGGAAATATGTAATTATTAATTATTATATTTAAGATTTAATTTACAACAATTTTACTTCATATATTTCCGTCAAATTAATTTAACGTAAAAGCAATATTATATGGGCGATTGTTTTAAGCCTCTCATTTACATCGATACAATACAAATATATATTACTTATTATATTATAAGCTATGACTCATTAAGTGAGGTATTTACAGTGAATTAGTTTTATTGAATTTTCTAGTTTTCTACCATATACATTATACATATATTAACATTCATTATTTTATTTAAATAATGACATTTTTTCTAAGTTAAATTGTTGTCGTATATTTGTACTTATTATAATTTACACAATACAAAATGTACAATGAATAAACATTCGAAGTTAACGATATAGTTCTTTCATTTTTATTTTGTTATGTATGCTTAACGTGATCTTATATAAAACTCAATACCTATATTAAAATATATAATTATGATTTGCCATACTATGATGGATAAAGAGTAATTATATATGTCTATACATGCATACTTCATACATGATTATTTATGATTTACGTTCATGAACTTTTTTTTGAAAAGTTTTATACTTAATGAATTGAAATTATTACAAAGTATAGCCTATAGGTACTTACATCAAAGTGCTAATTATTATAGTTAATGTGATTCATAAATAAACTAAATATATTGAACCAGCTTTAATTAGACTTCATGTTTAGTACATAGAATGTCAAGACAAAGGTTTTTTGTGTTTAATGACAAGTAGCTGCTGTAAGCACATGTAGGTAGGTCTATAATTTAATTATTTTCATGTCAGAGACTCTAAAATTCTAAGACGTCTACTGCTTGTCGTCTTCTTGGAGTCGTGCAAGGATCTGATATTTTTAGTAGTGTCACGCATAACAGATCACGAGTATGTGTATAAATAGTGTTAGGGTATAGGAATGTCTTACGCCTTTGATAGCAATTTCACGACAAAGGTATGCCCGAAATTTGAATATTAACTACCCCAGGTTTTGTTGCAATTATCCCCCTTGACTGGCCACCCTATCTATATTGCTGAGTATCTTTACACACCCTCGTATCTCTTTAATTATGCATTCATTGAGCTTATATCTAATATATATATGTATATAACACACACACACACACACACAAATGGCTACCTTTAAATGTGTAATGTGTATACGCATTGTGCTAAATAGAAATTTTGCGGACTTAACTGAGTCGTCCTCAGTAAGGCCCTTGCTTATGGCCTTAACCACCAAAATTAAATGTCTTTCCCTCCACCCACGCATCAAGTTAAATATTTTGTGTTTCGGTTATCTTTTTAATTTATGTCAACTGATAACGTTAAAAATAATTGAACACTTACTCCTTTGAATCTAAATCGACTGGTTCTTTTGACAAGCGGTACTTTAAATTGTGACGTATATCTTGGGACTCATTACTCAAACGGTTGGATGCCAAAGACGCAGGCAGCAACATGGCGGTTTCTGAAAAGAAAAAGAAAATTGCTTAAACGTTCATGATTTTATTATGTTGCATACATTTCCATTACCCCGGTGACTTGTTTAGTGGATATAAGTTAAATAGGTAATATATTAAATACAACAAAAAATTAAATTTTAAATTTGTATTATTTAGACATATTATAACATGATATTAATACCATATTTATTTCAAATAACTTTCACAATATTATACTAAATAATTTAATATACATAATTATTACGAATACAATATAAACTTACTCAAATAATTTTAATAAAATGATTAACTTGATTAACGATGATGATTTACAAAAGTTAAATTCAATTAAATTAATTAAATTAATTCCAGCTAACTTGTAACAATTAATATACCTACATTAGACATAAATTACATAGATATAATTTATTAAATGTTATTATTTATAGAACTTCAGAGTTTCGATTATGTTAATTTACATAATAAATAACTATACATTAATATGTATTAAAAGTTATTGCTTTAACAACCTTATTTGTTGGTTATAATTTTAATTATAGTTATATCCAAAAAATAAAATAATTTAACATAATTAGATAAGGTACATATATATGTTTATTTATTAACATACAGTAATTAAGAAAAACTTTGAAAATGTGTCAGTTTTATTTATTTATTTGGGACTGCAAATTTAATATTAAAGTTTTTGCAAAACTTTATTCATGTCATTCTGTATTATGAAAAAAACTAACTGGTGTGATGAATTAGAAAATTAATAGAATTAGTAATTAAAACTTTATACATTTGAATTGTTATAGTAAAAAATAGAACGGTAATTTTGGGACATCAAATGTAATATAATATAAATACTAATGAATTATATAAGTCGGTTGTTAAAGTTTTTTAAATTGTTCATATATTTTGAAATGTTGGGAATACATATTGTGTGTCTCTTTAACTCTATTTATATTGCTATTACTTTTTATCATGACGTCAGACATTCATATAATAATTTATGGTTGGACAATTTAATATTGAAATACGTGCTTCGCATTGGATTTACTTAAACTAATTATTTTAAAATGTTCATTTATATCAATCCGTTTAAACTCGTTGAATTTGTTTTTTCATACATTGAAGCATATACTTCAAAATCATATTTCAGAGTAGGTATACTCTTAACCGTCATTTGTGCAGCTGTTAAAATTAGTTTAGTAAATATTTTTACTATGAGTGTATCGTACATGTAAAAGATTATCGTTTAACTTAAAATCATATTTATAGTAACAAACATTATTCGAACATTGTAATTCGTAGACAATAATTGACGAATTTTCGAATTTCGTAACCACAAAAAGTTGTAATACTTTGATAAATTATAGTCTATATTACATTCTGTAGACAATACCTAAAATAATAAAAGTAAATACTCTTAAATTAATTATTTATTAGTCACTTATATAACAGTTTAATAAAGCACAGAGTCATATAATAATATTTTTATTTTTTACATTACATCATTTACCATAGCTACTTCACAGATTATCGCCGAATTGCAGTTTATCATTAGTAAAGTCATGTTTAATTAATGGACATTGACCGTTCGATTCTCTCTGACCTCTAGGACCTCAATGATTCATAGTTTCTAAATAATCTCAAATAATCTCTTTCATCTTATTTGCAGTAAAACAGTTGACTACGGTCGAATCTATGTGCTTTCATCGCAAACTCTGTTTCGGTGAAGCAGAGATGCAGTGCACTGTCTTTGAGAACAGTAAGTAAAGAAACTCTGGACTATTTGACGATACAATGATCAGTCACACTTCGACCAAGTCCATTTTCGATTTCTCTTATTATTCGAGTAAAAGCACATATACAAAAAGATAATAGTTGATGTTTCAAAATAATATAATATAGCACTATTAGCATCGCTGAGTACTTTTTAAAATGTAAATATGAATCTCCAAGATAACCGAGTTAAGTTATAAAATTAAGCAATAGAAAAGTATATTATACAAGGTGTAACACTAAATTTTGTTTTAAATCAAACATTTTTTTATTTTAATAATAATAATTTATAAACTCTTATAAAAATATTTGTTTGAAGTAAACTAATTTGAAACGTAGTAATTATTTTCAAAATATTATTTTTGGGAATTTCCTGAGGTAATATGTATACTTCTTGAATTATTTATGACTTTATATTTTTCATAATTTTTGTCATACTTTTAACTTACTATTATCAATTTTAAGAGAGGAGCCATGAATATATTGATTTCACAATGATGTGTGTTTTTTTACATATTTTTTTTGTGTCTGTCATCACTGGGTGGGTCAGTAAAAGTGCTTCGATTTTCTTCAACAGCAACTTTTCTGGTAGGAAAATGAATCTAGTTGGTGCATTCGGGAGGACAAAATCTCCAATTGTTTTCAAAAGTGACAGGAAAAACAAACAAAAAATTAAGGAAAAAAGGAACATTTTACACAAAGCCAGTTTTCGAAAAAATCGATTTTGGTTTTTAGCGTAACTCTATAAAATTACCACAGATACATGTATTTCCTATACACCATACAGTTTAATTTAATTAAACCCATGATAATTTGAATGATATATTTATATTTATATACCTTATACGCATAATAATTTTAAGAACACAATTTTTTTGTGATGAATTTTTCTTTCCAAGCCGCTCGACCTAATGTTTACGCTCAAGTGTCAGAAAATTCTTATTGTTGTCATATTACTGAATATTATGATATGGGCGAACAAAAAATATCTACCTAGCTAATAACGTAAATTTAAAACACTGTAATAATTTATATAAAAACCAATCTTGTAAATACCATATCCATATTATACTAATGACCTCGGCGGCCGTTGTATCTGCTTATTATTATGACAACAAAAATAAATTTTTGTTATAAAATATGATATACTTTTTTCTATAATAAGACATCCTTTTTAAATTGAATACAATTCTATTTTACAAAGTTGTTAGTCAGTGTAAAGTTAAAGCGAATTGTGAACAATGTACATGTAAAAAAATGATACTCAAAGTAATGACAACAAATAAATGATGACAATAGCACACGTGCATTAAATAAGTATAAGTATGATATTAAATATATATGTACAGTGTACAGAATACACAACAAAACATTCTTGAAAACAATCGATGCACTGATGTCTACAATTTTTAACAATGAGTAATTACAATATATTTTTGCAATTGTTTCTTTCTTATCTTTTGTTTGTATTTGAGGTGCTTGTGAATAATGAGCCTCGACTTTTTGCTTGATTAAAATATTTTCATGCCAACAGTCAGACAACAATAAATTAAACCGTTGCTGCCCATGGACCGTTATCTCCAAAAATGAACAACACTCTAAGAAAATATTACTAGGAGATGCGTTTTACTTTTCACTTGATATGGTACATAAATATTTGTTGTGGTTAAAATACAGTATACCAAGACAGTGCTAGAAAATTGTATTTATTATTATGGAAGTCGGTTGGGGTACGGTTTCAGCTTGCAGGGATGTGACATTTTGGAATTATGCAAAACACAATGGATGAGAATATTCGTTCGTGTGAAAATGTATTAAAAATTATGGTCACAATAGTGTGAGGATTTATGTTTTTATAAAATTATTATTTAAAAGGCACATCATAAGCATGAAATAGGTTATAGCAAATAGAGTGTGTATCTACGTACAAACACGATTTAAAATTTGTGTTTCATTTAAGTTTGTTTTTGAAAAAGTATCACAATTCATAATATATGATTATTCTATAGTACAATATTAATTGAAAAAAGATTAGAAGTGTACACATTTTATGAAATCGTATTAATTTTTTTTATACAATATAAAATATATTACAGAGTATGAATAAGTTTGAAAATACGCAATAAATCGTAATTTTTTCAAATATGAAATAAAATAAAAATAAAAATGTAAATTGGTTTTTGAATCATATGTCATCATCCAATAACAATGGTCATGTTTATTATTTTATTGCAGTGTTATGTGCTGCATATATTTAAAAAAATCTATTTAATCCATATTGTTTTAAATTTACATGTTAATGAACCGATACCACAATGAAGTATAAAATAGTTGCTACAATGCATTATGAAAAATTGTTAATTAAAATATTTTTGCCAATCTTTCAGTTTTAAACAAATTAACTCTTATGGTTATGAACTATCTGATATTTTTAGTTATCTATTTATAAAGCACATTAAATATTATACAAATAATCACTGTATATTACGCTGACGGTCATATATTAGTTTATTTTATTAAAAATATAATGAAACTCTCTTTGTTATGTATTATGTTTTATTATATTTTTGTTTGTAACAAACAATGCAATTTAAATGCTCTAAATATATTTTTTATTAACCATTCAAAAAAGGTTAGCAAATTTAATTAACAGATTGTTTTTAATAATATATTTATGTATGGATTTAAAGTAAAGTCCACTTTATTTATACTCAATAATAAATAATTTTCAACTCTGAAATTTAAAAAGAATGGATGAATACTTCAGTCTTTTGATCAGAAATATATTTTGAAACGACATCCCAAGAAGATTAAACTGTCATTTTGAACATAAACAATGTTGACCATTATAATTGGATCAATTTTTGTCAAAGATAATTTTCTTAAAAATATAGAAAAGGAAATGTTGTACAAGCTGTTTTTATTAACAGTGTACAGTTAAAATTGATTTATAAATGCAATATATTTGGATGAAACCTAAAGTTTAATGTTTACAAGTAGGTCATACACACGATACTCGTATTATTAAATTAAACTATAGCACGGCAACAAAAGTATGCAATTTTATAGCACCGAAGGCTGCTTGACGCCGACGAGTATAATCGAGAAACAGCCGGGGCTCATAGTTAATAAATAATAGAATATTATAATAGATTATATTATTAAAAGTAAGAAATTTTTAACGGCTAACGCTAACTTATCATCCATACATCAATACTACTATCCAATCATTTAAACGTATTAAAAGACTATGTATATTATTACTAGATTAGATTTCGTGATTCTTTAATATATACAAGATAAATTTAAATAAACTACTAAAAACATTTTTTTTTTTTTTTTTTTTTAATTTTTTTTTTTTAAAAAAAAACAAAAAAAAAATAGTTGGTACCTTTTAGTGCACTCCCGGGATAATTGGGGCATCTGGTTCCCATGCACGCTCTTTTCTGCACCATCGAAGGACAATGTTTGCCGCCATTTACTGGTGTTTTCATCACTTGTCTTTTTCTTGTCATCATGCCACTTCCGCATTCCGTGTCACATTCACTCCATGATTCCCACTCTGACATCACACAATCAATCACTGGAAAATTAAAATCAATTTTGTTACATTTTAAAACTTTAATCGTATGCAAGCACTTTGAATTTTATTTTAAGTATTGTGTATTATATACCTTATATGTAATAATTATTATATAATATTATATACCACGTTTTGACATTCAATTAACTTTCAAGCGTGTTTTAATTTAATCATTAAAGTAATCAAATACATAGTGATAATAATAATAATATAATAAATTTGCATCAATATTATACAATACATATTTTATGTTTTATTTTATAGGTTTACCTAAAAGCTGAGCTTGTGCTTTGGGAGCCATTCTTATCAATTTTTTGAATATATAAGAGAAGTCAAATTAAACAAAAATTGTAACTATATTATCAAACCGTAATATTAGTAGAAAAATCTAATGTATATAATTCATATAATTTATAATAATCAAAATTGAATAAAAATGAACTGAAATTTATACCTTAGATAAATCGAGGTGTTTCACATACAGTTTAAACAACTCAAACTATTAAATTCATCAATATTAATATTTAAAGAACATCATAAACTTAATCCTATGTATAAAATATTACTTTGACCAAATACTTTCTTAAAGTGTGATACATTTATATGAATATTTTTCTTGTATCTAGAGCTGTGCTCATTATTTATTATTGGAATTAAATGCTTAATATGTTTATTATATTGAATCAAAACCGATAAATTATAACTAAATTTAAAGTCCTTCATCTATAATTTTTTATAAATTAAAACAGTACTAGTTTGTGTTCGTAGAAATAATAAATATTTAATAATACAGTCTATTGTAGTAATAAACTAATAACTAATAAGAATGGACAAATGATTATGAAAAGGAGATGACATAAATCGGAGATAAAGTTGGCCATTAAAAGTATGTTTAATTTGTGTGTTCGAAATCCTCAAAAATAATGAACATTGTTGGGTTGTTTAGCGAGTGTTACTAACAAGATTTAGGATATATCCTATAGGACTAAAAAAGCTTGCTAAAAAAAAATATTATTATTTAGTATTTACGCATCGTTAAGCGGCAAAGCATTCACTTTAAATAAATAAAGTATAAATCGAATAAATAAACTTAAAAGTAGATGTGTTTAGTGACAAGTAAATAATTTAACACTAAGTTTGTCTAAAAGTATATTGCCAAATTAACAGAATGTGTCACATTGAACAAATTAATTATAAAGTGTACAAAACTACACACTTATAATGTCTGTAAGAATACCACATTATTTAAAAGCCATTAATGTACTTTTATAGTCATTGAATTAAGTATAAAATACTGCATTATTAACTAGGTATTAACTAAAAAGTGAATAATATAATGGTACATAGTTTATTTACAAAATTCCTATATACATTTTACATAGGCATTTTCAGAGTTAACAATTTAATATAAATTCTTATAAATACTTGAATTAATTGATTAAAATGTTAATTTACTGTTTGATATTTTTAATATTTTTGTTATATCATAGAGTTTTCAATTAAATTTCAGGATTTTCCATTTTGTAGGTAATTATTTATAGTTTATCAATGTGGATGATTATAATCATAATACAAATAATATAGTTTTTGGAAATATAGTAAATAATAATGGGGTTTTTACAATATGAATACTAATGATCCCTAAAAATTATATCCCTACAAAACTATATAAAACAATTTAAATTTTAACCATTAAAAAAAAAAAAAAATTATTATTATTATGTTTTATAAACCTTCTCGTTTAATAACAATAACAATAGTAGAACAATTCTCTTTTCTCTGTGTACCATAATATATTCATATTTGATACTCGTACATTACTAAATGGAAAGTGTAAAAGGCCACTGTAAAAAGCAATCTGCTCTAAATAGACTTTTTTTTTAATGGATATGAGTAAATGACGTTACTGTCGAATCATGATATTATATTTTGCAAATTGTTTACTAACAATAGCAACAAACAATAAATATAAATATTTTTCACTGTTATTTTTGATTCAAATACGTTTTACATAAAATATCGTTTTACGGAGATACCCACGTACCTACATAATACATAGTAGTTATCTATTGCCTATTGGAACAAACGATTTGTCTTAAGGCTTGAGGAGTAAATAATGTATTCTATCGAGTATAACCGTATTAATATTTAAGTACCCGTCTATATATACATGGCAGATTGTCTACGCTTGCAGTGACTAATACTTAGGTACATTATCGTAACACGAGTTGGAAATGGAATGAAAATCTGTATGCAGACTTAAACTTATTGTATAATCAATTCAACACGGTATCGCATATTTATATATACAAAGCACAGAAATTATCATATCAAATTAATTCATAACGACCAGCGGCATGGGAAGGTGTGGGCACCTATATAAAACCGTCAGCGCAGAAGATGAAAACTTTTTCCTCTTTTACTTTTCTGCCTTCGTTTCTTCTCGTTTTTCTTCTCGTTATTTCGCTGCATTATGCTTATTTACTTATTGCATTACCATCTAACACTCAAACACTCCAGAACTTTATTTCTATTTTTTTTCCACGAGAAAATAATAAATAATGAAAGTAAATCATCTCCTAATGTGCCCATCTACTCGGGTGGCTTTAGAAACCGTTAATCAGTCTACAATTTCGAAAATATCCCAAATTACATTATGTTATATACAGTGTATAAATATTTCTCAGTTAAATTTCTTGTTTCAACATTCTATAAGTGCACCGGTAAAAACCGATAGGTACATATACATCCGTATTTTGTACATAAATTTGTTTCAAAAGTAAAAAGCAAAGTTTTCGTGTGTTATACGCTTTGTAATATTCTATGCCAGTGGATGTGCTGCTGTGTATTCGCTTAATGCTTAGCTTAACGCTGAATTCTTATTTCTTATTTGATACGATATGATTGAAACTTGCCATAATGCCTTAAAAGAAACTTGTACACAAGTTATATGATTATAAGTGGAGTTCTAAAATATTAAACTCCCTTGCAATAAATAAAACCAATACGATTTATTGAAAACTTTTTGGTAAGAAGGATCAAAATTATGCAACCCGATTGAGAGCTGAACCCTATACTATACTCTTGTTTGCTGAGCCATTGTTTTACAAATCAAATATAGATTATCTCGAGTAGTTTTTTAATAAAATGGTTAGATATTAGGTATATATTTTGTAAATAAAAATATGGGTAAAAACAAATAAAAAACTCGTCGGACCGGTCGCAGGGCGTATCGTTCTCTAAATGTACGTTTTATATTAATGTTGATATTTTAATTTTAAACCCCAAAAAAATCAATTTACTATATTAAGATTAAAATTGTACACTTAAAGTTCATGAAATATATATTTTATTCTTTTTGTTATTATGATATTATTATAAGCTACTATCGATATTGTGGTATCTAATCGCAGCTGTACAAGTCTTGTGCACATTAAGAATTTAATAATAAACGAAAATAATTTTTTTTCTGAATTAAAATTTTTAATTGTTGAATATAACATCATATGAAGGCTAATAAAATCATAACGTGGTATTACCAAAATCTCATTTCTTCAGAAAATGTTGTTTGTGTCGTAGTGTTGTACTGTTATTGCCTGTTGGGTTCTCTAATTCTCTATGCTATTACTAAATTTTACTATTTTGTATTTATTTTACAGAATATAACATGGGTACCAACATTTACCTATTTTTAAAAGAAAATATGTCTGGAAATAACATCTTTTGTAGAGTATTAATTTAATTATTTGTTAAATATAAAAAAAAATTATTTTTTTAGTTTTTTGATAGGTACATAATAAGATGAATGGTGTTTACGTTCTTTGTTCAATAACTTAAAAATACATTTTCAAGTAAAAATTGATTACCTAATGTAACATCACTTTTTGGTTTAATAGGTAATATAAATATATAATAAGACTTAACTTTTTTTTTTTTTAATATCACCAATTTACATACAACAATATAAATTTAAATAATATGGCATTATAATATAAATAAATTTATTGTTATAAATGCATGCAATTTAATAAGTTTCACCTTCTATATGAATGTGAGCTCCATTGTAAAGAGAGAAGTCGTTTTTCAACTCAGATGTGTTGGTCGTGTTTTAAAAATATCATAAAATTAAATGGTCGTTACTTGTTGTTAGGTCCTTTAAATCTCCATTCATACGTTTTAAGCTTAATAATAGCGTGTCAATAAAAATTATACGTTGATGTAGAATTGGCATGAAAAATAATATAAACTATAACTCAGAATTGAAATAATTAGTATTTTATGAAAAACCATCTAACCAAACTATACCTTTTAAACTGGATAAATAAAATGAAGTTAGAACTAAGATAATGACAAAAATGAAATTCCACATTATTTTCAGTTAGAAATTTTAGCTTTATATTGATTAAGTATATAACTCAATTTTGATAAAAATGGAAATACCATGACTTATTACAGTTGCCCTTTGTATACGATTCTATTTTTATTGTTAGTCTTAGATTTCAGTTTCCATTTCAACTGCTGTATCAAATTTTAAAATAACCTTTGTATTTTTGCACATTTGTATTTTGTATACAGTATAGAACACGAATAAGAATGATATCCAGAGACACATCAAAATGAGTTCGAATAAAAACATCTCAAACAAAATAAATGTATTGTCAGCCTTAAAATTTCAACCATAAAATCGTTCCCGGAGTTTTGAAAAATGAGGCACTTAAGAGAGAAAAAGAGCAATATTTTAACTAGAATATTTCAATATCATTTTACATGACGCGTGAAAAATATTTGTAACTTTGGAAACACTGGAAAATAACAAACAACTAAATTAAGGGGTTGAAGACTTGAAATTGTAGATATATAAATATACCTATATCGCAAAAACATACATTTACTAGTTGTAATAATACCAAAAACCAAAAGCACCTATTAAATATCTAAATCGAACGATTTCATAGATTTTAAAATATATATTTTTTTGATTAAATACCAATAAGAACTTA